AACTTTGAGCATCTTTTGTGTCTTCTGATGTATTTGTCATGTTTCACCTTTTCTGTTCATATCCTTTGTTCACATTTCTTTTGGGCTTACTGATAGGAATTTTTTAAACATTTTTCATATATTGTTGAAATTAGTCTCTTCTGCTGTACATGTTATAAATCTTTTTCATTTCCATTTTTCTGTTCCTGGTTTTGCCATTGATTAGTTTTGTGATTTGGGAGGCATGCTTTAATTTCCACAAGACCATTTTTATCCACTGTAAAGTGTGAATACATAATCTCTGGTTATTGTTTCACTGTGAAATGTTAGTTAAAGGGCTATTTAAGCCCTTTGGGTTCCTCATTCGATTTCCACCAGCTATTTTTCTTACCTGCAGCATGAGGATACAACACTTTTAAGGGTATTGAGGAATACCAGAGCGTATGACAGTGCTTTGGAGCTTTGCCTGAGAGATGGAAGGCATTTTGTTCTTTAGTTTTACTATGACTTAACTCTAGGAAATGACTTTTGTAACAGTTTTGATCAGATATTGAGCTATAGGTGTCACAGAACAGCACTTGTTTATTTTGTATTCTCCTGGTGGAGGAAAGACATGCATAAAGCAAGGTATGCTCATGCTGACCTGTGTCCTGAAGTGCATTATGGGATGGAGGAAACATGTAAGGAAAAGCCCTCTTCTTCCCCAACCGTGTTACTTGCTCCAGAATGACATAGTAGAATCTGTTAATTTTTGGGACTAGATACTTGTAAGGTTAGAATTACCTGCTTTTGTGTTTCCATCCAGTTCTCAGAACAAAGGATTCAGAGGAAACATTGGGGGACCTATAGCAGTGTATGCACATGTGTATGTGTAAAAATCAGTTCTGATTGTCTGTACTGCCTTCAACAATGAACAGAAATGTGATATAACGCTACACACTTATACTCAGATACCACCCTTAGACACAAACAACCTCCTATCCTCACAGTTCCTTCTTTTCACCATACCTGTCCCCTTCCACACTGCTTTCCAAGAACTCTGACAGAATGTCTTGAGCTGCTACCAGGGCCTATAGAACCTGTCTGTATGAAGATGCATCAGGCCATTGAATTCTACCATGTTATGTATTTATTCCTAGGTCAAAGGTGTGACCATAGAGACTGTTTGAGAAGGTGTTTGCAGAGCTTGCATACTCAATTGAACACCTATGCATAAGGCTCCTTAGAGTGTAGGGGAGGACTAGGGTGTGGAGATTGCAGAGCTTGTGGGTAGGGGTGAACTTGTACCAGGATCTTCCTTTTGTACTTATGTACCAATTCAAAACCTTCTCAGAGACAGATCTGCCCTAAAGAAACTTCTCTTCTTTCATTTTTGTTGGTAATGGTGGTAGTGGTATTAGGGAAGCTTTTAATCATACTCATTTTGAGGATGAACAGATCAGGTTCAATAAGAAGTCCAGTTAATATTTGAAGATAACTCTGAATTGGCTGGAGAAGTAGACTGTATGATTTCCTGAAGGGAGACTCTTGGGTGCAGCTCTGTGTCTCCACTGGGTAGGTGGTGCTTTTGATGCTTTGTGAACAGGAGGAAGGATTCTGCTGGCATAACACATTTTTAGGAAAAGGCAAAGTGTTTCCTCATCTCTTTATACTAGCAAGGCACAGCTGCCTGCAAAGCATCTGCTGCATAGGGATTCCTTCTTCATTCTTAGTTTTCTGAAGGCTTTTAAGACATAGTTTAGTGCATTCCTTCTGTTTTCTATAGCCAGGGGGAAACTCATAATCCATCAGGGCTCTTACTGAGTAGTTTAAAATGGGTGCTGACAGCTGAGGGATTGTGTGTGTGTGTGTGTGTGTGTGTGTGTGTGCGTGCGCGCGCATGCGTGCTGTTGGGGGTAAGGGAGAGCTTTCCAGGGACAAGTGACCTGCTTGCTCAGCCACTGAGAATAATTTAGAGGAATGATATCACCAGACAGGCTTTTTTGTCTGATCATCTTGTAAAAAGTAAGATTGTGTCTGGCAACTTAACCCTTTCTTAGGTACTTAAAGTTCACCCTCACTGGTATGTGACTTCTAGATGCCTTTTCCCAACTGTCAGGTGCAAGCCCACTGAGATTAAAGGCTTAAAGGACTGGAGAAACTGGGAGAATTATAAGCCATTGCTTAAAAAAAATAGAAATTGCTAAACTTTAGAACCACAGCTAGAATGGAAATGTTATCTGAGCTGTGTTCAGAAAGCACATCTAAAGCAGATGCTGAACGTGGTCATATAATACCTTTTACTTGTAGTCTTAGGAAGGGAGGAAGGTTAGTGTGAGAAGACAGACTTTGTTTTATTTTAATTTATGGGATGGAGTCTGTGGTACTTTGATGTATCTGGCCTCCATAAATTCATAGAGAGTGGCACTATTAGGAGGCATGGCTTTGTTGGAGTGTGTATGGCCCTCTTCTTGGAGGAAGTATGTTACTGTGGGGGTCTGTTTTGAGGTTTCCTATGCTTAACATACCACTCAGTGTCTCAGTTCACTTCCTATGTCATCTCATCAAGATGTATTTATTTGGCCAGGGTCCTCACCTAGTCTTCTTGATCTCTCACAAAATATGTTCTGGGGACAGAGTTTCTTAGTTACATCTGGGGCTAGGAGCAGAGTTCATCAGCAGAACATCTGCCCATTTGCCTGCACACCACTACCAGAGACTATGCTCCATGCCATGATGATAATGGTGAACCTCTGAAACTGAAATATGTCACCTTTGTAAAATGTTTTTCTTTATAAGAATTGGCCATAGTCATGGTATCTCTTCATAGCAATAGAAAACCCAACTAAGAGTCTTACAAAGTATTTCCTGTTTGGGAAGAATTAAAGGCTTTGTAGATTTGGAGACTGTCCTGTAATTTCTCTTGAGGCTTATTTTGAGTAAGTAGTTTTTTGCAGTATTTGTTTACCTTCTCCCATAAAATAATAATCATTGTCTTCATGCTTGTTTCCTTAGTAGTAAAATAAGTAGTCCTGCCCCATCTTACAGAGTTTCTGAGATAAGGAAACAAATTAGTTTTGTGACTTTAGATATTGTTCCATGCATGAATTATAACAAGAGTATGTTTTTTTAAAATTTTATGTTCACTTACTCATTCAGTGGACATTTTATTCTTTTGTTGTTAACACTGCCTTATATGTTTTAAAATTTTTAGAGAGAGAATATTTGTAGGCATACATGTGTGAAAGTCAGAGAACAAATTTGTGGAACTAATTCTCTCTTTCCACCTTTGTGTGGGTTCTAGGAATCTCAGGTCATCCGACTCAAAACCATTGGAGTTACAGTGCCTTTACTTGCCGAGCCATTATTGTGGTAAAAGCACTATCTTCTTAATGCAGGGTGTAGGAGATACATTAAAAGATAGTTCTTGCCTTTAAGGAACTCAAAATATCATGAAGAAACAGACAAAAATAATAATTAAATGTATGTTTGATTCTTTTTATCAAGTGCTAGGTCTTCTTCTAACTATCTTGGTATACAGGAACACTGACTTTCTCAGCTGTGTGCACTATGTACTGCTAAGGCTAGCTCCATTTTATAGAAAAGGAAATAGATTTGCAGAAGTAAGACTGACTTGCCTAATGCCACACAGCTGGTGATTGAGTTGGAACTTGAAAACAGTCAGTAAGGGTCTATATTCTGTGTTGACTTCTACAGTGGTCACTAGCCACATGTATAATGAAATGTGCCTAGTTCAGGTTGATTTGGGCTGTGTGAATAAGAATTAGGTTTCAAAGACCTAATTGGGGGGTGGATGGGAAGCATAAGACACCCTTCCTCTCCCTCCCTCCCTCCCTCCCTCCCTCCCTCCCTCCCTCCCTCCCTCCCTCCCTCTCTCTCTCTTCTCCCTCTTCTCCTTCCCCCCCATCCCTGGCCCTAGTGTGTGCTTGTGTAGAAGAGGTAGCTTATTAGGAAAGAAAGGATTCCCAAGAGAAGAAATAGGTCAGAGCAGACAAAGGTCAGAGGCTAATAGGTAAAACCTCATATTAAAATTATATGTTGCTGATATTTTAGACATACTGAATTAAGTAAAATGTATTAAAAAATGGTCTTACTTTCCTATTATAGCTACTCTAAAACTTAAGATAATATAGAGGCTTGCCTTTGTGGGGGGCTCTCATTATATTTGTTTTGTTGGATTGTACTACTGTAAGTAATAACAAGTAAGTGTCATTTTTGAACATTTCCTGTGTGCTGTACACTCTAATACTTCTGCAAAGATTTTAGTTAAGCCTCATATTATTCTTTATATTATCACCATTTTGTAATCAAGAGAATGACTTTTGAAAAATTCAATAATTTGTCATCTAATTGGTACCAAACAACTTCAAAACCATGTGTCTGACTCAAAATTGTTTTCTTAACTAGCATATGGTAATTCCATTTGAATTTACACCTGAGATGTTTTATTTTTGTATATATATCTGTGTACTTGGGTATCTGATACATAAATCTTCAAAATAAAAATCAGTAGTCCATAAAATAGAATTCTCTTGCAGGGTTGTGAATGCAGGGCACAGTTGAGTCTGAGATGAGGCAGTGAAGTCATCCTGTGCAAATTATGTTTATTAAGTTTTCCTTCCCTCTTCCCCCCTACCTCTCTTCTTCCTTCCTCTTTTTCTTTCTTTCTTTCTTTTTTTTTTTTGTCTGGCTGGCTTGGAACTCACTATGTAGACTAGGCTGTTTTCAAACTCACAGAGATCCTCCTGTCTCTTCCTCCTGAGTACTGTGACTAAAGGGAAATGCTACCACACCCAATCCCGATTGCCCTTAATTTTCATTCTAGTCTATTGCTTTAACACTAACTTATTGTCCATGGATGGAGAAGAGGAAGGGGCAGCACAATTTCCTTAGCTGTTTAGTCACCTTGTCTGATAAGATGACAAATTTGTTTTATGTTTTCACTGTCCATTCTGCCCTCTGAAATTTGTTTGAGAGAAGAATGATATGCTACCTAGTGACTCTTGACTTTTTTCTTCTAGAGCAAAGATTCCGGTGGACTGAAGGCAGCTATGATAGAGTTGGTGGAGAGGTTAAAGTTCAAGAGCTCAGACCCTAAAGTAAGTATTGTTTTAGAATTAACTGGGTGTTAATGCTTATCTGTCTTTACTTTCTATTTAGATTCAATTAAGCCTTGCCATCAAAAATAGTGTTCTCATATGCCTTGAGAAAAGTTATTTATTTCCCCTTCTGTATTTTATGACTTATAACACATAATCATTAATCATTATTTTTGGAATTGCAGAGAAATGCATTTTTAATCTTTCTTTACCAGACCTTTGAGACTTCTGTCCTTTGTGTCCCTTAGATCTACCTAAAAGCATCTGAGATACTGATCAGCATAATTCTGGTCCCTGGATACCTAGCCAGTTGGTACATAGTGCTAATATGCCTTTTCAATCTCTGCTTACAGGAGGCAGCTGCCCCTGAGCATGCCTTTGTCTTCATTACCTAGATCTGGTTGAGGAAATGATTTGAGTTTCTTTGCAAGATTTGGGGAGCTGGAGGAGTGATATTCTTGGAGATGTCAAACTAGAGTAGGGATGGGGTAGAGGTGGTGGGCTGGGAGCTGAATGCGTAGGAGAGATTGTGACTAACAGATTCCCTTCTCTTTCTAACTGAGACACTTACTGTAGTACTGCCCAGTATTGGGACTAGATAACTCTGCTGGAAAGTCAGAGCCCCTCACAGTTAAGAGGGGAAAAAACATGCTTCTATTTTTATGTCTCTCTCTCTCTCTTTTTTTTTTTCCCAACAAACTCTTTATTAAATAGGAGTACCTGGGAGCCAGGTCCTGCACTAGGGATCTTACATAGTTGTGATAAACTACATAACAAGATTTTAACCATTTAAAATGTGTGTTGTAGTGGCATTGAGTTCATTTAGAGTGCTATGCATCATCACTGTCCACTTATGATGGGAGATGTCATTCTGTATATATGTTTCTCATACTGGTTAATGAATAAAGCACTGTTGGCCAATAGGAAAGGAAGATAAGAGGGATAGGAGACAAGGAGGAAATAGGAAGTAGTAAGGAGGGGCAAGATGAAGAGTCTGGAGAGAGCAGTACGCGGCAGCCGGCTCTGGGTAAGAAGACCACGTGGAAATACATAGATTAACACAAATGGGTTAATACTTAAGACAGAGCTAGCCGATAAGAAAGTAGTAACTGGCCAACAGTATAATATCAAATACAGAGTCTCTGTATGTTAATTGGGGCTGGCGCAGCGGCAGGACAAGATCAGGCAGCAGGCGGAAAAACAATACTCCTTACAGATGGCGCCCAACGTGGGTCACGAACCCATAACCCTGAGATTAAGAGTCTCATGCTCTACCGACTGAGCTAGCCGTGGCAGCACAAGAGTGGTGGCCCTACAGATGGCGCCCAACGTGGTATGTTTTCATTGTTGAAGACTAAAACTCTGTCCATATTAAACACAGCACCTCATTCTCCTTCTCTTTCCATATTTTTGATTATTATAAACCCATGTGAAATAGTTCCCTAGCCCAATTTAATTTATTTTAGGGACAGTAAAGCATAAGGAAGTAGAGTTATTGATCCACATGTAGTATATTGTGGAGATGAGAGTCAAGCGACTCTAGTGCCTTTACTGCTTTTAATTCTCACTGCAAATCAAGCTTCAGGATTCATCATTGTGCTGTGTAATCATGTATTTTAAGCTGAAGCACCACAGTGAAGCAGAGGCATTGGCAGCAGTGGGCTCTTTAAAAGGTAACTGCAGCCATTAGTAATTTCTTATTCATTTGTCAGTGGAAATACTGACATTAGGAGTATCCCCGCTCTTTTTGAACAGGCTAGGTTCTAGTGGTAGTGAGCATCTAGATAGAAAAAAGAAAAAAGGTGTAACTTTTTGTTTTTGTTTTTTGTTTGTTTGTTTGTTTTTTTGTTTTTGTTTTTGTTTTTTTTTTTTTGAGACAGGCTTTATCTGTACAGCTTTGGCACTCTGTAGACCAGGCTGGCCTCAAACTCACAGAGATCTGCCTGCCTCTGCCTCCCAATGCTGGGGTTAAAGGCATGTGCCACCACTGTCTGGCCCGGTTGTGTAACTTTAACAACTCTACTACCTAGAATAGGAGGGCTCCTGCTCTAACTTTTCCATTCATAAAGCTGAACCAATTAAGTACTACAGGTAACTGAAAACACTTAAACACCTTGACAAGTTTCATTGGTTTTGTGGATGACAGGAAACCAACTATTTTCTGTCTCTGCCATACCTTTATGTTTATAATTAGCAAAGCAGTGAAAAGTGATTGCTGTTGCAGGCTTTGGCATCCTTTATGAATACAGACAGTGCTTCTTTTAGAAACTTGCCAGAGAAGAAAAAAATCCAGCTAAAGCGTTCCCTGATGCAGGACTTCTTAACTTGTGGGTCAACCCCTTTTGGGTGGAGGGTGGGAGGGATTGGGGGAGGGTGGGGAGTGTCAAGTGACTCTTTCACAGAGGTTACATATCAGATACTCTGCATATCAGATATTTATATTATGATTCATGACAGTAGCAAAATTACAGTTATGAAGGAGCAGTGAAAATAAGTTTATGGTTGGGGATCACCATGACATGAGGGCTGTATTAAATGGTCACAGCATTAGGAAGGTTGAGAATCACTGTCCTAATGTAAGCTAAAAGATGGTTATAAGAATCTGACTTGATCTTAGGTGTGGGTGCACACACTGTCCAACCTTTTACCTTCAAGCCCCCTTTTAATCTAGTGCATGAATTTGCTTTGAGTGTCCATGAAGCTGGCTTGAGAAGGGGTGAATGAAAGTGTGGAGTGACTGCCAAATCAGGAAGAAAGAAAAACTGGACACTTTTAATATAAACTTTTCGTAAAAAGTGTTCTAAGAAATCTTCCAAAAGTAGCTTAAGTTTCTGTCTGTCCTGTTATCCTGCAATCCTAGACCATTCCTTTTTAGGTTGACCTATATAAGAAGGGCAAACAAGCTCAGGTTTTATGACCTGTCATTTTGGGACAGAGTTGCTTTAATCAAGACACTGATTGAATCATAGGGACTGAGTACTAACTCAGCCTCACTTCCTCTAGAATCCCTAAGGCAGCCCAAAGATTGATTGTCCAGACAGCGAAGTCTAGTGCTAACTCAATTCACTCCCCAAGACAGAGAGACTGACTGTCTGTCTGTCTGTCTGTCTATAATATGTAGGGATCTGTCAGCATGTATGTCTGTGAACTCCATGTATGCTGTACTCATGGAGGACATGGGGTTACAGACTCTTTTGGAAGAGCAGCCAGTGCTCTTAATAGTTGAGCCATCTCTCCAGCCCCTGAGTTCACTTTTAACTTTTTAACTGTGTGTTTTGCTAAAGGATGATGGAAGATACCAATCAATATTAACTCTGTTTTCTATTCATAAAAGAAAGCTAGAGTGAATTCCCCTCAAATTAATTACATCCATTGGGATTGTAACTTTTTTTTGCAAAAATTATATTGTGCCTAGTTTTTTGTTTTTTTTTTTCTTTTCTTTTTTGTTTGTTTTTTTGAGACAGAGTTTCTCTGTATTGTTTTGGAGCCTGTCCTGGAACTAGCTCTGTAGCTGGCCTTGAACTCACAGAGATCTGCTTGCCTCTGCCTTCCAAGTGCTGGGATTAAAGGTATGTGCCACCACCTCCCTTTGGTTATGTTGCTTTTTTTTTTTTAATATGCAAAATATTCTAGATATTCTTCTGTGTTGACAAATAGAATGTCAGTTATTCCTATTGATGAGATTCAGGTCTTTGTTAGCTTTAAATGTCAACTTGACATAGCCTGGTGTCTTCTGGGAGGAAAGTCTTCATCCATTAGGGAATTATCAGGATCAAATTGGCCTGTAAGCCTGTATGTGAGGGATTGTCTTGATTGGTAATTGATGCTAGAGGCCCCAACCCACGTACAGGTACAATCTCACCTAGGCAGGTGGTCCTGTGTAAGAAGGCTATCTAAGCATGAACCTGTGAGGGAGCCAGCAAATAGCAGTCCTCCATGATCTTGGCTTCAAGTCCTTGCTTGAGTTCCTGCCCTGGCTTCCCTGATGGACTACGATGTGCAAATGTAAACCTATTACAGCAATAGAAAGGGAAACCAGAACACTTAATTTATTGAAAGCATGCCTGATACTTTCTTCTGGATCAGCTGGGTTTAAATTTTGTTGTTCATAAAAGTCACTCAGAATTTATTAAAGCATAAAAGAGTTCTAGGCCAGGCAGTAGTGCACCTTTAATCTCAGCACTTGGGAAGCAGAGGCAGGAGGATCTTTAAGAGTTCCAGGCTAGTTCACATAGTCAGTCTACATAGTGAACTCCAGGGCAGCCAGAACTACACAGAGAAACCCTGTCTCAAAAAACCAAAGACCAAAAACAAGAAAACAAAAAAGATAGAGTTTCACACTCACCTCTGGAGTTTTAATTCAGTTGATATGGGCTGACAGAGCCTCAGGCTGTGAGAATTACTGTGCTAAACTTTGAGCTAGGTTCCTTGCTTTTTATTTGTTTTTCTGATTTCTTCAAATAGAAGAGCACCTAAAAATAAGACTAAGTAATTTTCAGATTTGAAAAAGAAAATGAAATATAGGCTTAGGAAACAAATGAATTGTACAGAAGTAACAAAGAAATGGGGGTGGAAAGGGAAGATGCAAAGTCAGTGTGATTTAAAAAGAAACTGGTATAGTTTCATAGTCTCATTTCTAACAGAGAAGTAGCTAAGTAAGGGAGAAGGAAAGGGCTTCAGCAAAGTGTGTGAACAGAGGTGTTGAGTCAAGACAGGAGGGTAATTAAAGATGGTGTTGTGGTTCTAAGAATAGGCTACATTCTAAAACTAGAGGAACCATAGGAAACGTCTAATCCCAGCCACTAGCAGTGACCTGAGAGCAGGAATCAGAGCAGGTGATAGGTAAGAAATTACATAAAACTGAAGGAAGTTATACATGTGTGTGTTGCTTTGGTGGACCTTGTTTGAAAGGTAACATGCCTCCAAGTAGCTAGCATCTCCTGTATTGTAGATAAAGATTGCTTTTAATAACAACCTTTATTTTGTTTAAAAAAAAAAAA